AGACTACAAGGTTGCGAGTTCAATACTAGCCAGGGCTCAGGCTAGACTCAGTCCTGCATCCTTCCGAGGTTGCTAAAATGAGTACCCAACTGTTGGGGGCAATGAGCTTACAGTTGTAAACTGCTTAGACATCCCATAGCGTGATATAAAGCGGTATATAAATGAAGCTGCTTTAAAGACAAAGCAAAGCCCAAAAGACTCTCTTTCCACCACCTTCCCCAGTTTTCTTGAATTTCTTCCTGCCCAGATCCACAAGTCCTGTTCCCTTAAGGGCCATTTTATTTTGCTTAGGGCAAGCTGACACAAAGCATCACACATCACTGTTTTGGGGGGTGATTTCTGGAAGGAAGGCAGAAGCAGCCCAAAAATCCTTTTGTTGCTTAACTTACTCCAGCAGTTATAGGAATCCTAGGGTGTAGTTAGTCTCTTTAACTATTCACTGAAACAGGCTAGTCTCTAAAACACAAGAACATGTCTCCTCCTGGAAGCTGTGTATCAGTCCTGTTGTGCATTTGACCCAATGTGCATCAGTCTCAGTGCTCAACGGTCCTAATGCGCAATGGTTACTTCACTGGCTCCCTTGCGTAGTAATGTCACAACAGCTCTTTGCTGAATATAGATGTTGTAAAACTGCTCGATTCTGTTTCTTGCAGACATAAATCCATTTATAAATATGTAAGTCCCCAACTGAATCCCAGCCTCTGTTTTTTAAAAAAAACCAAGCAAGCAAAATATGCAAACAACTTTATGGTGCCAGGTTTAGAACAATCATATCTCAGCTTCCAGGAGGACATGCTCTTGTATAATTTTAGAGACTAACCTGTTTCAGTGACTAGTTAAAGAGAGTAGTTGGGAAAGGCTTACAAATATCAAGCAACACCATGCTACTCTTGAGCAGGGAGTGCTGCCAAAAACAAGTCCAATCCCTCCCTTACTCTTCTCTAACTATAAATCACTTACCCTAAAAGCCTGCCCCAACCAGAAGCAGTCTGTGATGGGTAGAGAAACAAAGTGGGTCAAGGGATAACATTATAGGCAAGAGGAGGCAACGCTGATGCAGGAATGCCAGTTTCATCGGGGGTCCCAGTTAAGTGTAACATGTAGTTCCACCTCTTGTTTCTGTCATCATGGTTCATATCTAGTTTGGTTGCCTTTCCTTGCTCAAGACTAGGACAGTGTGGAATTGTAAAAGCAGCATCTACGTTTTAGAAAGTCCTGGTTTTTCAGTTCTGGTACAATGTAATGTTAAGAAGAATGTTGCACTGATCTGACTGTTCTAACATGTATTTTGTACACACTGTACTCCCTTCACCTCCTCCTTCAAAGATAGGCTGCTGTACAATCCTCAGTGCCTTATCGATGTCAGTTACCTGGTTTGTTGCCTCAAAAGATAGCAAATGAATGAATGGTTTTAGAGGAAGCTAGTGTGATTTTCTGGCTTTGCTGAAGAATTGGGGTTTAGTTGTTTTAGCTGAGCCAGTATTGCTAAACATAGGTCAATTAGGGAGGGGTAAAATGGAGACATTTTGCTATGATTATGGGAGCAAATATATCTTAAACTGTCAGTCTATGGGAAGGATAAGAAATTCAAGATCACTTTGCTTATGTCATGTCCAGGTGTAATCTAACCAACATCAAGCATTTTCAAAACTGCTGAACCCAGTCTAGCCAAAGCAATAACTTTTTGAAGGGCCACCGATTTCAACAGGGAGAAAGTGTAGAAAGCTTTCAAGGTATCCCATTAGAGTTACCAGTTGGCCAGTATTTCATACTATGTGCCAGTTGTAGTTATCAGATGAAGCCAAGCTTTCATCCCTCTTATTGCCAGCGGTTAGAACTATGACAATGAAAGGCAGGGCTTTTATCACAGAGATTCCAGAACTTTTTTCGGTGAAGCTAGTAGGTAGGGGCTGTTTCTGTAGTGTTCCTTCATTTGTAATGCATTAAGTTATTATATGCTGCTTTGAACATAGAAAAGGTGAGCTACATGACTGGTTCAAATAGCCA